CGACACCCGAAGGTCCCGCCTCGCCCTCAGAATCCGTCTCACCATCAGCGGCGTCGGCCATCTCCTGAGTAATGCGCGAAGTGGATATCGCACTAATATCAATCTCGGGGTATGTATTCCGGATCATCCACCGGCTTAGTTTAAAGCCCTTTTTGTACGAGTCCACCATCAGGTCATCAAAGTGCGGCGAGGCGATGTATTCATCAACGGCCTTCTTCTTGGCGTCCTCAATGCCTTGAGAAAAGATCTATGTCCTCTCCCTGATATCCTCCTGAAGGTATTCAACCTGATGCTGCAAATCCAGCCAGAGGTCCGCCATATGCTTCACCACAACTCCCATGGCCTCGGCATCTCTCTGAGACCTCGCCTGCCTGGCTTGTGTAGCGCGAGCAGCCACCTCAGCAGCTCAGGAAGTCGCCTCGGCAGCACGGAAAGCCTCTTCGGCAGCTCGCGCCTACCTCGAGCTCCTTTCCACTTGGGCCACCAAGGCATGGATAGAAGAATTCACCTACCAAAAGGGAAGAACAAAATGATCAAAAGAACGACAGCAAGAAGGATAAAAACAAAGAGCCCGACAAGAAATCTGACTTAACACCATGGCATGAGTGACAGCACGACAAGTTACCTGGTTCAAAGGAAGCTCGAACCATGCCGCGACCTCCTCAGGATAGATGGCCTCCCTACTCTTCTGCGAGCCTGAGGGCCCAGCTCGCGTGTAAGCGGACTCGGAGTATGCAGGAGCCCCCGTGTAAGTAGCCTCGGCATAAGGGGCCCCTGCTGCTTCATGAACTAGAGGGGCCATCTCGGGCTCCCTGGGCGGATCCATAGACGGGTAGTCTGGTACCTCGGGCTCCGYGTCTCGAGGTAGCTTGGCACGAGTTCGTTTGGCGACTCGCTTCCTCCTCTTCATGTCGTGAAACAAGTGCCCACCACGAGTCCTCTCTAGGTCCATCACACCTGCAAAATGAGCTCGGCATCAGAAAAAAACGAAAGAGCAGGGCAAAACAAAAGACAAACCTCTGAGTAAGGAACCTACCCTAACTCAGACCGACCTCAATAAGCTTGGCCTCCAACAGATTATGATGGCATTTCAGCCCAAGCCATGCCCATTGCCGGAGGCCCTTCGCCGTCTCCTTATCAAGCGTAACACCGGCGTCAGGGGCGGCCATCCCCCACCCGGTTTGAAACGGCCACCCCAATACACTTCGCACCCCGAAGTAGTCCCGCTTCCACGCCGAGACCTTGTTGGGAAGTTCGTGTAAAAGCTTAAAACCTGGGCGAGGAGACAGGTAATACGCCCGCCTATGCCCGGGAAGGGGACCCGCCTGCTTCTTAAGAATTAGAATGGAAGAAAAGATCTCCAGGTCTAAAGGCAAGCCTTGTTCGCAAAATAGGGAGATTGTCCCCACCAAGTTACGAATGGAGTTCAGGTTAAGCTGGCCGACAGTAATGCCGAAGTGGTTCATGACCTCGACAAGGAGGGGGTGGAAAGGCAGGCGCAACCCTGCAGCGAGCTGCTCCCGAAATATCACGATCTCATCAGGACCGTGTTCCCAAGGGAAACTGCCCGAAGGTATGAAGTAGGCGTACCCCCCAGGCAAGTTGAACTGAGTAATAAGGGATTGAAGCCCCTCAGGCGTCAGGGTCGAGGGCCCAAACTTGTCTAACGTCCGACCTCGACGAGAGGTGGACGCCAAACTACCTGAGGCAACTCGGCCTACGGGTTCGAACTCTTCCTCGAGCTCTACCTCCGGTTCGCTAGGACCGTCGGGGGATGCAACTCGGTTCGTAGAACCTACATCTGACCCCCTTGAAGAACTGTCTGAGCTATCCGAGCTAGACATCGGGAGGAGAAGGTGGATTCCAGGAAAGTACTCACCCGAAAAAAGGCTTAAACGGACTACGGGAACTTGAACATGAGCTAAAAGCTTGAATGCGAACTAAAGGCTCAGACGCGAGCTGAAACTTGGACGCGAGCTCAAGAAGCAAAACGCAGAAGTGACAAAGCGGCTGGGGTCCCCCACTATTTATACCCACAGTAACGAAGAATCAACAGCTCAGATCAAAGCCAATCCGACGGCTCGCAGTCGCGCTGACCGCACGTCTCCTAAGACCGAGATGTGACTGGCCACACGTCTCTCGAAACTGAAAGAGCACGTCTCCTCACATTAAAGGCGTCAGCGGCACATTTTCAAATTTGAAAAGATGCCCACTGTCGCGTCTCCCAGTGGCGCACTTTTTGAATTTTAAAATAAAGCGCGCGCTGTCACGTCTCCCAGTGTCGCGCTTTTGAATTTTGAAATAAGGCGTGCGCTGTCACGTATGTCAGCATTTGTAGGCAGATTGGCACGTTCCCGTCTTTTTGGCGCTCGAGAAACCCGAAAAAATCCTGACGACGCGTACCTCGCGCTATCAGTCAACCAATTCGAAGTACGGGACAAATCCACCCGCCACCTCGCGAACTCCCCGCGCCAGGGCAAGACCCTTAGCACGAGGAGTGGGGGACAATTGATGAAGGAAGATTTGACCCGACCTCGTAACCACTCAACATGTGGCAAAGGCAACAGCTCGACACAACAGCTTGCCAAGGCGCGAGCTCCGAAAGGAGGAACCAGCTGTCCGAACTCCCTATAAAGAGCCCGAACTCCCCGAAAGGAGCCCGAGCTCTCCCTTAGGCCCCGAGCCTTGCGAACACAATGGGCAACAACCCGAACTGGCCTGCCCCATGGCAGTTTGGGCCATACCTCTATCCGAACTCAAGACCACCGCGCACACCACTCCAGCACTTCGCCTCCAAGACGCCGAACTAGACAAACCACACCGTACCTGACACCGAAGGAGTCCGTATCCAGGGGCGGCGCACCTGACTAACTTGGGATCTGACGCTTGACAGCCGCACTTCAATGGCCACCTGTCACTGCCACTGCCACCTGCCACCACCATCTCCAGTTACAGAGACGGCTCCGACAAAAG